TAAAAATATTCTTAATTTTTTTTTTTTAATATATTAATTAATAAAACTATAATTATTTTAATTTATATTAATTTTAAGCTTAAAGAATTAAAATAATAATATAAATAAAAACTTTATTTTAAAGCTTATATATTTTTAAAGTAAATTTAAAACTATATAAACTTAAACTAACCTTATTTTAATAGTAATTTATATTTAAAGCTTTTTAGGTTTATTTAGTTTTAATATAAAGATAAATACCTAAATATTAATTATATAAACTTAAAAATTATTTATAAAAAGATAATAAATTTTTAAAAAGAAATAATAATTATAATTAAAAAAAGGTAAGAAAATATTAATCTAATTTAGGTTTAAGTTAATACTATTATAAACTTTAAACTCTTTTTAAAAGCTTAAAAAACTATTAAAATAAAGGTAGTAGAATTAAAAGCTATTTATAATTAATATACTCTTAAGGATATTCTTAAAGAATTAAAGGTTATTATTACCTTAAATCTTAAAAAAGTAAGATAAAAGGTAAAAAAAGAATATAAATAAATTATAATTATTAAAAAGATAGTATTAAATAGACTAAGTTAGATTTAAATATAAGAAAAAGTATATTAAATAGTATTATTTTATTAAATTCTTAATATAAAAGGATTAATAGCTATTATTAATTTTCTAAATATAATTAAGAAGAAAATAATACTTAAATAGGCTATATCTTTAAAAAGAGATTTTATTAATATAGGTATTTTACTAAGGATTAATTTAATATTAAATTAGACTTTATAAACTACTATAAATATATTTAAAGAAAATATAAAGGAATTAAAGTATAAGTAGAAGAATACTATATTATCTAAAAGGTATATCTAGATTCTTCTAAACTAAATATAAATATAAATAAATTCTAAATAAAGAAAATTAAAGAAATTATAAATAAACCTAAATAGACTACTCTTAAAGTATTTATAAGTAAAGAAAAGTAGCTATAAAAGGAATATAATATATATATTCTATTTAAAAATACTCTTAAACCTATAAAGAATATATTCTTTATTATCTATAGAAACTACTATCTATACTATAAAAGTATATTTTTAGATAATTATAGCTTATATTATATTATAAATAATAAAAGCCTTCTTAAGCTAGATTCTTATAAAGAGTTATAAAATATCTTAATTAAAGCTAAAGATTATTAATCTATTATTATTAGTATAGAAATAAGAATTATAAAATATATCTTAATTACTTTTAATAAATTAAGAATTAACCTTTATTTAATAAATATTTATTATATTCTTAGCTTTTATATAAATTTAATCTTAACTAATATCCTAAAAGCTAAAACTAGGCTCTAGATTAATAGTTATAATAATATTCTAAGGAAAGGTATACTTAAGAATAATTATTATATAGCTTAACTATATAAAAAGGATAATATTCTATTCTTTAAATATAAACTAATTTAATAACTAAAAAAGCTAATATCTTAAAAAATAGTCTTAAATACCTTTAGATATAGTCTTAATTATATATTAAAAGGAATATCCTTTTTTAGAAAAGAGGATAATTATTTATAATATTTATAATTAAAATACCTTAAAAAAGAATTATTTAAGGCTTTAATTTAAGAATTAACTAATAACTAAATTATTAAAATATAATATCTAGATTATAAGGTATATAGTATTACTTTAATAGAAAATATTATTAATAAAGAAATTAATAATATATTTATTATTTAACCTTTTAAGAGAATTAAGTAAGATTTATAAGAATACCCTTTAAGTTATAATAAAATAAGCTTTTTTTTAATAATATAAGATAAATATACTAATTTAATTTATTCTATTTTAACTACTTTTAAAAATATTAAGACTTTTTTCTTTATAATTAAGAACTTTATAATATAGATTAAAAGGTAATTTAACTTTAAGGTTTTTATTATAAGATATAATAATAAAAAGGCTATAATCTATAAAGATACTCTTATAAAGTATTAAAAATAGATAAAAGAATTAAGAATTAAGATTAAAGTTATATTAGTATATATTTATAAACTAAATAGGTTAAATAAGAGGTTTAAAAGGATAGTTATTAAGAAAATACTTATCTTAATAATATCTTTAAGACTATTTATAGCTTTATAGTTTAAAGTAATAAAAATAGCTACCTTTTTATTTAAAAATAGCCTAAAGAAAGTATATAAATATAAATTACTATTATAAAAAATAAATTTATAGTTTAAAGAGAGTAAATAAGGTACTAAATATATAATTAGTAAAAGGATTAGTATAAAAGGGTAGTATATATATAAATACTAAGTATACCTTTTTAATTAAAAATAAGAAAAAGGAGTTAATAAAAGAAACTTTAAAGTATATTCTAAAGAATATATTAGTTATTTAGTTAATTATATAATATTAAACCTATACTAAATATAGATATCTTAACTTAATTATATTATTATAATAAAGAATATTAAATTTAATAAAAATATATTTTATTCTTTAAAAATAAAAAATAAAAATAGGATTATTAAGTTAGAATTAAAGAAAAAGATAAAATTTTTTATAGAAATAGAAAGTTAAAATCTAATTATAAAATTTAGACTTAAATATTTTCTTTTAATAACTTTATAAAATACTATCTTTAACCTAAATCCTTAAAATAAGTTATAAGATTTAAATAAATCTAAATAAAATAGTTATAAGATATAAGATATTATAATATCTAATAGATATATTATATAAACTTAAGAAGTAGACTTAAGTAATATTAAAACTTTAAAAAGTAATATATTATCTTTAATATTAAAAATAAAAACTAAAAATAATAATAATATAGAAATAGTAATAAGTAATAGAATAGATAATATACTTTTATTTAAGGATATATTAGAATTATTTAAAAATATAAGCTAAGAAAAAGATATTAATAATTTAGCCTTAAAAGTAAAAGAAGATAACTAAATATATATATATTTATTTAGCCTTTAAATAAGACTAGAATTATAAGATTTATATATAGAAAATACCTAGAAAATAAGAATTTAGCTCTTTATTATTTAAGATAGAAAGATAAGTCTATACCTACTTAATAAGGATAAACTAATAACTTAAAAAAAGCCTATTAAGAAGAATTATAATCTATATTTATAAGATATAGTTATAAAAGACTTTAAATTATAATTAGAAATTTAGGAAGTAACTATAGAAAGCTTAATCTTTATTCTTAAAGAAACTATTTATAAAAGTAAAAAGATTAAAAGAAAGATTAAAAATAGCTAAAAGCTAGTATAGAAAAGAATAAAATTAGCCTTTATTATACTCTAATTATTAGAAATTATTATTAAAAAGAAAAAGTATATAGCTAATCCTTACTATATTAACCTAAAAAAATATAATAATAAAGAATTATAAATATTATTTATAATACTAAAATATATATTTTAAGATAAATAATTAAATAATAATTAGACTTAGAATATTAAAAGAGATAAGTAACTATACTATATTAATAATTTACTACCCCTACCTTAAGGGTAGAATAAGATTAAAAGGTATACTTTTAAAACCTAATTTAAAGAAATAAGTCTTAATAAAATATAGGCTTTTAATAAAATAAAAACCTAGACTTATATATATAGAAATATTAAAAAGGAATATACTCTACCTTTTAAATAGGTATTTATATATAAATTTAATACTAATAAAGTCCTAATTAAATATAAAGTATAAATCTATATATAAAAGGATTTATAGTTAATTAATAGTTAAAAAGAAATATATATAACTATATTAATAATATAGACTTTCTAAATAATAATAGTATTTATAATAAAATATAATCTTAATTCTTAATAGTTTAATATTAAAAATACCTTTTTATATACTAATAAATAGAACTTATTAAATAAAGTCTTATATAGGCTATTATTAAGATTCTAAGAAATAATAAATTCACTAGTAAATTTTAAAGAAGTAGATTATAATATCCTATTAAATTAAGTACTTTATAGGTTATAAGACTTACTACTCCTTTAGTATTTAGAATTTACTAGTATATTAATAAAGCTAGGGCTTATATAATATAAAGAAGAATTATACTTTTTTTTTAATAAAAAAAGGTTAATATATATTATTTTCTTTATTAATAATATTATTATTTTAAGTAAAAAAGAAGCTATAAAGGAAAGGAATAAATTTACTTATAAGCTATTTTAAAAATATAGAATATATAATTAAGAAGAGGTATTATAATTCTTAGGAATTAAGATTATTTATAATTAAAAGAAGAAAATAGTATAACTCTTTTATAAAGTATATATAAAGAAGATTATAATTAAGTTTAAAATAACTAGTTTTAATTAAGTTTAAACTCCTTTATTATAATAATAATTTATTAAAAGAATAAAATAAATAATATTAAAAAAAGTAAAAAGATACTAAAAGATTATTAAGTTAATCCTATATATATTAATTATAATAAAAATAAATATTATATTTATAGTATTAATACTATCTTATTATTTAATAAACCTATCTTAAATATATTTTAATATAGTTATTTATATTATTTAGTATCTTCTTAATACTAAAGATTATTATATTATATATAATAAAAATAAAAAGGTAATTATTTTATAAATAGTAAATAATACCTTATATATTAATAATTTAGATATAAAGAGATCTAGTTAGGAATTTATTATAATCCTTTTTAAAAGAATTATAGCTTAAAAAGTATTATATTAAAGTATAATAATAACTTTTACTATAAAAGCTAAGTTATTAGCTTTTTAAAATACTATAAAAGAAATAGTTATACTTAAATATCTTTTCTAAAAAATAGATATTATTCTTAAACTACCTTATAAAATTTTCTATAATAATTAATAAATAATTTATTTAGTTATAGTTAGAAATTAAAGAATTAATATTAAATTATAATATATTAATATTTATTATTTATAGCTTTAATAAGAATATTAATATAGATTATTTAAAGTATTATATTTTCTAATAAAAGATATATTAGTAAATAGATTTATAAAAAACCTATTATTATAGTTATTTATTTATTTTTAAGATTTAATTAGGATTATAAAGTTTAAAAGTAATAAGAGTTTAATTTAAACTAAAACCTAGTAATAATATCTTTAAATACTAATAAAAAAAAGAAAAATAAAAAATATAAGAAAAGTATAAAATAATCTTATAATTTATTAATAAGATTTTTTATTAAATAATCTATAATAGCTTTATACTATTTTAATTTAGTTAAATAAGTATTAAATATAATTTTATATTTATAAAATAAACTAAAAGACTTATACTTACTTATAGTTACTATTATTTTAAAAAAGATTTAAATAGAATTCTATTTCTTTTTATAAGCCTTAAAACTTTATAAAGTTTAATATTAATTAATAAAAAAAGACTTAATTATAAGCTTTTTTATAATTTTTAATAATATAAAAGTAAAAGAATTTATTTCTTTAATAATTAAAAAACTAATAACCTTAAGATTATCTAGAAAGTTATTTTTTATAGCTAGAAGTTAAGATAAAATATATAAAAAGAAAAGATTCTTAAAAGACTTAATTAGAATATAATTAAGAATAAAAGAATAGAAAAGAAGTATAAACTTAATAATTTAATATTAAATTCCTTTTATATAATATTTAAAGTAATAACTTATTAGCTTATTATAATAAAGAAAAATAATATTAATTAAGGTTATAATATAATAATACTTATAACTTTAAAGGTTTCTTATAAAGAAATATATATATATTATATATAAGACTTTATAAAGATTATTAAAAGTATATATAATTATTTAAATTATAGTTATAAACTTTCTTTAGGTTTTTAAGGATATTTAAGTATTCTTTTTAACTAAACTAAAGATAAGGGAATAGTTATTAATATTATTTAAGCCTAAAAAGATAAAAGATAATATAATAATATTATTTAAGTCTATATTATTAAGATTAAAAGTTAATAAAAAATAAAATAATTAAAAAAAATAGTATATATTTTTAAAATTAAATATAATAAATATACTATTAACCTTTTAAACCTCTATAGAAGTTAAAAGCTAAGACTACTTTACTAGATTTAAGTTATTAATACCTTATAAATATTTTAAAGTAGAAATAGTATATTTAAAGTTAATAATATTATTAAAATTAAAGGTTTCTTTATAAGTAAAAGAAGAATAAAAATAAAGTATATTAAAGATAATAAATAAAAGAAAAAAAATTAACTTTTTAAAAAATTAAAAGTAGTTTAAATACTCTTATATAATTATTAAAAGTATTTTACTTTATATATTATAATAAGATTATATTATTAAAAAGTAATATATTATTAAAGCTATTATTACTTTACTTTTAAATAATTAAAGAAAATAATATAAATAAGTTAATAAATATAAAAAGAAAAAAAAGATAAAGTAATTATAATAAGATTAAAAAGAACTATATATATAAAAGATTTAAATATTCTTTAATTTAATAAAAGTAGTTATAAAAGATTAATTTATTAAAGAATACTATTTTTAATTAAATTCTAAAATATTTTTTTAAAATAATATAAAAAAAAAAAAAGAATTTACTTAAAAAGTATATTATAATTTAAATAGAGATTATAATATATATAATTAGTTAAAGACTTATTTATAATAAAAAGCTAAAAAAGGATAATAGTATATAAATAAAGAAGTTAAGTTTAAAAAAACTAATCTTAATTACTAATAAAATTAAGTAATAAAAAGATATACTAAAGGAGTATAATTAAGCTAATTAGCTAAGCTAGAAAATAGATATAAAAAGGAAGGAATTTCCTTTCTTAGTTAAAAAAGAATAAAGTAAAAATAGCTATAAGTTCTAATATATATTATTCTTTAACTCTACTATATAAAATTACTCTTAGTTATAACTAGTTATCTAATATCTATATTAGCTTACTTATATAATTTATAAGAGCTATTTATATTATATGTATATATATATATAAGTACTACTTAGGGTATAAGCTACCTACTTAGCCTAGAGAATATATTATTATCTTGCTAAAACTCTTATGCCTAACAAAATGGTAGCAATATATTGTTATGCTATTGTGGTTATGTATGATGATAATATATTGTGTGGGTTCTATGGGCTTAAGAGGGGTCTCATATACCCTATAATATGCTGCTATTATAGATAGTAGCGTCCTTACTACTAATTATCCCTTAACGTTCTAAAATACATATAACCTCCACGATATAACCTTCTAAGATATGCCCTTCTAAGATATGCCCTTCTAAGATATAACCCCTCTTCTTACCACTATCGCGAAAAAGCCTTCCTTAATAGCGATAGCGATAGCGATACTCGCAGGCGATAGCGATAGCGATACTTATAGGCAATAGCGATAGCAATTCTAGCTTAGTTTTTATTAATAGAAGGTAGATAGAGGTAATAGCGATAGTGGTTTTAATAGTGGTTTTAATAAATTAATAAAAGAAGAGTGCTTTCTAGTAGTAGTGTTTACTAAAGCCTAACTACCTAAGGGGGGGGGGAATAGTAGTTTCTATTAAAGCTAAGAACTAAATAAAAATAAAATTCTAGTATAGCTAAAGCCTAATTTATTATAATTATTATTAAAAAAGGTTTATAGGTGTTACTACTAATTATTATGCTATTGTGGTTATGTGTAATGATAATGTATTGTGTGGGTTCTGTGGGCTCGAGAGGGGTCTCATGTACCCTACAATCCAACCTTAGCTCCCCCGCAACTACCCCGGAAAACACTAGCTTCCAAGAACATTGGATTCCGGAGTCTCCACGATTTTCTACCAACGCTGGATCGGCATCGAAAAACACTTCTCAGCCATGAGACCATTTTCCCCTTTGACTATTTGTCTAGTACGTGGCTGCGAGATGCTGAAAAACTTGATAAAAGGGGCACTGGTTCGTTGACTTTGACGAACCCTGCGATACTACTACAACCTCCTGAACAGTGGGCTCACATGATCTCCTGACTCATAAAAACACAACACGCTATATTCTATCAGCATGGAGAAACATGAGAGCGAGCATCATGATGTCTTGGAGACCTCCGAGCACTCGTCTGTCATGGATACTGCGCTGACCCCAGAAGAATTGGAGCAGGAGAAGAAGCTCGTCCGGAAGATTGATTTGTACATTCTGCCATGCATGTGGTTCATGTACTTGTTGTCCTACATGGACCGAACTAAGTAAGTTTTCACAATTGGCCACGTTTACGCTTCAATTGCTAACAGAGCGTTCGTCGTGTTTCAGTATTGGAAATGCCAAGATCGCCGGAATGGACAAAGACCTTAATCTGGATTCCAACAAATACTCCATCGCCTTGACCGCCTTCTTCGTTAGTTATGTCGTTTTTGAAGTTCCTTCAAACATGATTCTCACCCGAACTCGGCCGAGTCGCTACCTTGCCACCATTATGTTCCTCTGGGGTGCCGTCACTATTGGCATGGCCTTTACTCCCAGCTACGGCGCTCTTGTCGCCTTTCGGTTCGTCATGGGCCTCCTGGAGTCCGGGTTTGCCCCCGGCATGCTCATGATTCTCTCGTCGTGGTACCGTAAAGAGGAGCAGAGCAGACGCTTTGCCGTGTTCATCTCTGCCGCCATCTTATCCGGTTGCTTTGGTGGTCTCCTTGCCGGTGCCATCACTACCGGCTTGCACAATGTGCATGGTATTCATGGCTGGCGCTGGCTCTTTATCGTCGAGGGTGCGGGCACCTTGGGCGTTGCCATGCTGGCAGTCTTTATTCTGCCAGACTTCCCGAGCAACACGTCGGACCGCAAGCTCAGCGCAGCGGAGAGAAGCCTGGCGATTCGGAGATTGCAAGTCGATGCGCGAAGCAACCGCACAGAAGAACAGCCGCACTTGACTCACTTGCAGGCCCTGAAGCTGAGCGTGACAAACTGGCGAACGTGGCTGCTAGTGGTTGGCTATATGGTAAGTACAAGACTACCTTGCGTCGCAGTCATAGCTACATGATTGGTTTCTAACTGTCAATGCATCATAGGCTATCGTTGGATCATCCACTCTATCTTACTTCTACCCGACCTTGGTCAAAGGCCTTGGCTACGAATCGAGGGATGCGCAGTACATGACGGTTCCTATATTTGGTGTAGCATTTGTGACAACAGCCATCATAGGCTATGTTGCCGACAAGCATTCCAAGTGGCGAGGCGTGATGCTCGGTGCTATGATGACAATCGCGATGCTCTGTTCCGTCATCATCTGCGCCGTGTACAACTTCAAGGCAAGATACGCCCTTCTCGTCATTATGGCATCGGGACTCTGGGCTTCCAATGGTCTCGCGTTGTCGTACGCGTCTGTGACGTTCTCTTCGATGCCCAACGAGACGAAAGCTGTGTCTCTGGCACTTGTCAACGCCTTGGGAAACCTGGCTCAGATTTATGGAGCATACCTTTTCCCGGCTGCAGACGCCCCAAAGTACCTCACTGGCTTTGGTGTCATCAGTGCAATGTGCTTGACTGGAGTGGTAGCCTACCTGTCGTTGCATGTATTGCTCGGGCGCGCTGCAAAGCATAGCGCAATCAATTAATTTTACACGGTCCAGTTAAATCGTATAGTCATAGGAAATTTCTCAATACAAATGTCGCTTCTCAAATGGCTGGATGAGCTACCCATAGATAGATGATCACGACGAATCCGGCTCCCATGGCACCGACGGTGAAGGAAATACGTAGGAGTGGCGAGCTGTTGACGCCTGCAGCGGTAATCGACGTACTGTGGATAGGCTAGGAGGAGACTGGAACAAGTGAGCAGTAGAGATAACAATCTTCCTGTAGAAATGTTTCAGGCAATCAGCCAGCGACCACTCTGATCCTCGATTGAGTATTTACTGCATTGTCGCTACCTGGTCACAAGACGGCGTTTTGTCGCCATTTAATTGTGCAAAACTGGATAATGTTTCTCTTTGATGACATTCTAATTAATCTTCTAGGTAATACTCAAAGTCAGCGATTCTTTGTCTAGGTAATTTACAGAACAGCCAGGCTCTCTGCGCTGCAACGCTAGGTGAGAAGCTCCTGTTGCCTCTCACGATTTTCCCCACAGACCCTGCGGCGTAAACCACTTGTTCGCAAATGCAATGAAAGCACCAAACAGGCACACACTGCCACTGAACATGGCTACCTGGAAGAAGTCGCCTTTGTAATGCTCAATCATGACGCCGTCCAGAGGCGGGCCCATAAGCCCTCCAAGAGCACCTAAGGCCATCCCCATCCCGGCGTAGGTGCCTACATCCCTGACATCTGGACAGCATACAGTGAAGGCAACTGAGGCACCAGATATGATGGTGCCAGAAGTAAAGCCAAAGACGATCGAGTACACGATGAGAGCCGCATTCGTTGTGGCTTCACTCATGCAGAAGATGACGATAGCAGTGGCTAGTGCTCCGGTCGAGTACACGTTGAGCTTACCGACCTTGTCCGCCAAAATGCCTGGGATGATGCGCCCAAAGGTAGAAGAAGCATTGAGGATTGCAGACAAGTAACCAGCTAGCGTCGGCTCCATGCCTCGCATCGTGGCGTAGGTGGGGATGAAGAAGAGAGGAAGGAACATTCCCATGAATACAAAAAACATGGAAATAGTCAAGACAATCAGCCTGGCGTCTCTGAAGGCTGCCGAAAGCCAGAAAGACCGAGAGCGTGGTGGAAGACGGGCCTTGATGGCGAACATAGGAAACGCCAAAAAGGGGAGGATGAGAAAGCCAATAACACGAATGCTCCATCCGAAGCCGAGATTGGTGCCATTGAGCATCTTGGACAAGGCCATGGGCATGATGATGCCGCCGATTGAAGAGCCGGAAACGGCGACGCCAATGGCTGCTGCACGGTTCACATCAAAGTATTGCGAGACAGCGGCCATGGAGGGGAATTGCAAGAAGCCCATGAGAGTGCCCTGCAACACGGCCTGGCAGAGCATAAAATGCCAATACTCCTTGCAAAGACTGAGCAGCATCATCGAGACGACGTAGAGAGCGGCGGCCGGCCGGATAACCTGCAGCGCAAGCGATTAGAATCTCCATTAACACGGCCAGCCCGGAGAAGAGGGGACTTGCCTTGGCGCCATACCGGTCAAACAACGGCCCTCCAATCATGCCCGAGAAGAATTGCAAAAAGATGGCCAGCGAGCCGATCCAGGCAATTTTGGAGGGCGAGACGCCGCGAAGCTGGTGCTGGAGGTAGTAGTCGGCCAGCACGCCGAACGAGTTGGAGAAGCCGAGGCAGCAAAAGAAGATGCAGAAGCCGCCTGCCGCCACTAGCCAGGCCTCGAGGCCGCCATCGGGTGCCTTGGAGAGGTCGTCGCTCGTGTTTTTGGACGCATCCGCGTGTTTTTCCTGCTTCTCATCCAGACCCGGCTCACGGCGGTGGTGGGCGGTTTCTGGCTGGCTCTGCAGGGCCTGGGAATCGTGGGCTGCCATCGTTGTCGCTGATTTGTCTATCCTCCTTTGAGTTCCCTTTATTTCGGGGGGGGGGGGGGCGGCAATGTAGGGGAGTTGGAGGCTGAAAAGGTAAGCTTGTTGCTGCTTGGATATGAAGCAGCGCCGGATCTTCGTCTTATACATGCATTTTAGAAATCGGGAAATAGCGCCCGAGTTTGGCTAGTAAATGTAAATCGGCTTCGGGCCAATCTGAGCGCAGGGTGGTAACGGCGTGATCAAATGAGATACGTTGCAACTCGTCATATTACCAGATCGAAGGATTCGGCAAATACCGGAGCAGATCTCTCTTTGTTCATGGATGTCTACGGAGGTCAGCTGGTTTTGCAGAATCTAATCAATCTGATAAACTGGTCAGGTCGGGTGGCAAAGTCGGGAAATGCGACCGATTTTGCGACATGGCACGGGGCCGAAGCCGACTTCACCTTGAGAGTGAATCATAAAAGGGCCAACGCGCGGGATAAAATCCCTCGCTTTCCGCATCGTAATTACGACAACACCTTGGAGAATTTAGAGTATAATAGCAAAAATACATTGCCGTCTTTGTTGTAGATTGATAAAAGGAGCGCCCGCAAGCTGTCATACTCCTAACCATTTCCCGACTTTCCAGCCGACTCCGACTCTGTGGCGCTCGCCAGCCACAGCACTTGCCACAGAAGTCATTGGACGAAATATGCACCGAGGCGCAGGGCAGGCTACAACACTTCAAAGCTTACACGTTCCCAACTAAAAGTTCGTTCTTTTCACCGACAAAACCCGTGTCTAGATTAGTGAAGATAAAATTCTCGCGGACCGGACTCTACATTCATGAGCTAGTTACCCGGCGTCAGCATCCTAGACTCTAGCGTGGTCGCTGACTGAACTGTCACGTGCACAGCACGTGCACAGCAGCACAGCACTCTTAGGGCCATAAGCCACCTATGTAGAAGCTAGGGAATATATTATCATCTTGCTAAAACTCTTATACCTAATAAAATAGTAGTAATACTAGTAGGATTATTAGAGACTATTAAAATTTATTAAATTTAAAGCTCTTATTAATAGTGATATTTATTTTCGTTTTTCTTTTTTCTTTCCTACCTATAATTAGCTATAGCTAACATACTAGACTATATCCCCCCTTAATTTAATCTAAACTATATTTCCCCCCCCCCCTTAATACTAGTATTATAAAAGTAGATCTAGCTAAGTTAGTTAACTTAAATACTAGCTAAAATATATTAGTTTTAATAAGCTAAGTAGTATATTAACACTAAGCTACTATATATAGAAATAGATAAAGGTTATCTAGCCTATATTATAAGCTAGCTAGCCTATATTATATATATATAAGACTAGATAGATAAGTAAGAAGAGACTCCCCCTAACTTAGGTATAGTATATACTATTCTAAGAGCCTAGAGAACTTATATAAATATATATATACCTATAAGAAACTATATAGTCCCTATAAAGTAGCTTATCTACTAAGCCTATATAAAGCTATCCCTAATAAGACCTAAGCTATATTAAGGAGGAGAATAAATATAGTAAGAAGAGTAGGAAAGGTAGGAAGTAGGAGGATAAGCAATATAGACCTAAGTCGTTAGCTTATCTAAAGAATAAATATAGTAAAAGGAAGGAAGCTAAGTATATATATTTAGCCTACTAGGCACCTTCCTAATATAGACCTATTCCTATTTAACCCCCTTATTAATATCCTTCCTAAACTTCTTAAATTTTATTACTTAGCTTAGAGAAGTTAGCTTATCCTATTATATATAGATAAACACTAGATAGTAGATAACCCTAAATCTATAAGTAGATAGCTATTAAATAAGCTATTAAGTAAGCTATTAAATAAGCTATTAAGTAAGCTATTAAGTAAGCTAGATAGAAAGTATACCCCCTTCTAGTAATCCCCTACTATAGGATATTAGTATACTCTCCCTAGTGGCCTTAGTATAGATAGTAGCTATTATAAAACTAACCCTAGTATATTACTATAAGGAGACGCTAGCGGTATCTATAGTAATAATAGTAATAGCTAGTAAGCTTAAGCTAACTAAGCTTTATAAAAATAATATTAGATTTTTTAATCTAGACTTCTAATATTAGGATAAATAGGGGACTAGTTAAGTTATAAGAGCTACTAAAAATCTAATATTTATCTATATTTATATATTTATAGACTAGCTTAAGTAGTATATTATTAGCTATAGTAAGTAATAGGTTAAGGATATTTAGGTAACCTATTTATATAGTAAAGCTGCCTAATAGTATAATAGCTACCTTATTATAGTAGACTAATAACTACTTTATAATATATCTATAAAGGATATCTATACTAGTCTTATTAAAAGATAGTAAAAGTTAATAGTAAAAGCTACTAAAGACCTAGTAAAGGCCTAATATACTTTAATAGATATATATAATAGCTATAGTATTAAAATATACACCCTATAAGTATTAAAAGATATATAAGCTTATAAATTAGGCTAGTAAGTATAGCTTTAGACAGTATATAACTCTTTTAACCTAATAATCTATAGCCTACTACTACTACTAGTACTAAATACCACAGCCTTATAGCTTATAACAGTATTATAAGAGTAATAGGATATAATAAAAGATCTTATAAGGTAGAAGCGGAATAATATGTCTTATATACTATATTTAGATTAGGTAGTATAGTACCTATCTAGGCTATATAATAACTATAGCTAGTCTTATAATAGATAGTAAGGATAGTGGTAGTTAAATAGCTATTAGGATAGCTAGCAATCCCTACCCCTAGTATATATATAGTAAGGCTAAAGCTATATATAGTAGCTATAAGATATAAGGAAGGCCCTATAGGTAACCCCCTCTAGACTATTCTATAGTAATATAGGTATCCCGCCTTAAGTTAGTAGTAGTATATAGAATATAAATAGCTTTAGAAAAAATAATAATAACTATAGTAAGTATAGGAATAATATATATCCCCTATATTATACTCTATACTAGCTATATAACTAAGGTAGATATAATTAAGGTAGTAGGCTATAATAGATAGTAGGCATATACTAGTAAGATAAGGAAATAGAGGATTAAGGTATAACCTAGGGAGATAACTAGTCTATAGATATACTATTAGAAGAAAAAGAATATAGCCTAGTAGATTATTTTAATAATCTATAAGCTATAGTAGTATACGCCTTAGCTAAAAAGCTAGAAGAGACTATTAATACTTACTTTATTACTACTATATAAGGTATAACTAAGTGCTATATCTATAGTTAAGCCTTTAGTTCTAGTAATAATTTATATAAATATATATATATAGCTTATCTAAATATAACTACTAGCTTAAATAATTAAGATTTCACTTACTTTAATATTCCTTATAATAACCCTCCTATAAGTATATATATTAAATATAATATAGTACTACTAACTATATATTATATCTTCTAGAATATATCTCCTAGATTATAACCACCCCTATAGATTATTTAAGTAATAGTTATATATAGCCTAATAACTTAAGTACTATAAGGTTCTAGCTAGTTATACCTACACTTCTAGGTCTACCTAGACCTAAATATACTAGGTATACTTTATAATATATATGCTAATACTAACTCTAGCGTTATACTAGCAAATAAAAGATAGCTAGCTAAGAACTATCTTAACTTAACCCTACTTATAAAAGTATAGCTAGTATAACTATATAGTATAGGGTAAGCTTAGTATATAGTAATAAAGTATATATACTTTCTACTATATCTTCCTAGTATATAGTAGGATAGTATACTAGCTATAATATATTAAATAATTAATATAACTATAGTACTTAAGTTAAAAGCTAATATACTACTTAGTATAGATATATTAGGGTTATTATAAATAAATATATTAATTATATAATAAAAGGTAATCTTATATAGCTACTAATATATAAGTATACTAATAAGTATATAGGCTTAAGCGTAATATAGTATAGTAGTGGTTAAAGCTAACTTATATATCGTCCTAATACTAAGAAAGACTATATTAATACTAGTCTAATATAACGCTACTAAAGGCGCTAAATAAGTATAGTATATATACAAACCTTAAATAATACCTAATATTATAGCCTTCTTTACTATAATATAATAAGATATATACTATATACTAGTATATAATAACTTACTAAAGTATATAAAGCTATATAAATATATAAGGCTTAGGTAGCTATACCTCCTATACCTAAAGGCCTAGGTATATACTATTAAACTATAGTAAGCTAACTTAGTAATAGAGCTAGTAGTAGTTAGTAAAATAGAAAATAGTAAATTTACTATAGTATTAGAAGCCCTTAAGATAAATATAATTATATATCCTATTAGTATTAATATCTATTATAATAGCTTATAATAGTAAAATATAGCTCTATATAGGCTAGTTATAGACTATATAGTACTCTTTAAGGATAAGGGCTTTACTATAGTACCCCTAGAGGAATATATATATGTACGCCTAAAGCTAGGCTAGGAAGAGACGCTCTTATATCGCTATAAGGTATATCTATAGGGTCCTAAGGAATAGAAGATTATTTAGATAATAGTCAACAATCTTATTACTAAAGGTAAGCTAGAATATATATATATATAAGTGCTATTTATATTCCCTATCTTTATTATCTAATAAGAATAGGGTAATAAGAGGAAAGGGTGTATAGTAGTAGATATAAGGCCTTTAAATAAATAGGCCTTAAGTAATATATACCCTATACAATAATAAGATACTATTATAAGTAAGTTAGCCTATACTAAGTATATTACTATTATTAACACTATAGTATTTTACTATTAATAGTAACTATATTTAGACTTAATATAGGTATTTATAATTATTATATATAGAGGCTAATATATATTCTAGGTACCTATTATAGGCTATAAGAATAGTAATATCTATATATAGTAGTATATAGATAAGATTCTAAGATAAACTAAGGGCTTATTATACTATAA